AAGAATAAATCATTGACCATCGGAGCATGACCATAAAACATATCTCTCATATAAATAGAACAACCATTATTCTCGGATTTAAATGAGTAGCCATCTCGTATTAAACGAGATCCTGATACAATGTTCATGCTCAAACTTGGCACTAAATAACAATTATTGAGGTTTATAACTAATCCCGTAGGTAAATGTACAGGTAGCGTGCCGACGACGATCACATCGACCTTGGAACCATTCCCGACGCGCATCATCACCTCGTCCTTCGCCAGTCTCCGTTTATTCCGCAGCTCCTGCTGTGAGTTACAAATATGAGCAACGGCACCGATATCAAATACCCAGGAGTCACTACGAGTACTGGTAAGATACACATCAATTATATGTATATCAAATATACCTTTGGCGCTGCCGGCCTTCTTGTCCGCTAAGTATTTGGGGCAGTTCCGTTTCCAGTGACCCTTCCCTTTGCAATAAAAGCACTCCGTCTCAGGCTTGGGTCCATTCTTTGACTTCTTCTCGGCCGTAAGCGTACGTGTAAGGTTGGTCCGGGCCGCTTCATCCCACAATACCGTTGAAGCAAGATAAGACTAGTAGCGGCAAGAAAGTTGAAAACATCTACGCCCACAACAAATTGTGTTCTACTCGCGCAAGAAGAACTACGCATAGACCTAGCTCATGATGCCACTGTTGGGGAACGTTGCAGAAAAACAAAATTTTTCCTACGGTTTCACCAAGATCCATCTAGGAGTTCATCTAGCAACGAGTGATTAGATGCATCTACGTACCTTGTAGATCGCGAGCGGAAGCGTTCAAAGAACGTGGATGAGGGAGTCGTACTCGACGTGATTCGAATCATCGAAGATCCTAGCACCGAACGGACGGCACCTCCGCGTTCAACACACGTACGGAACAGCCACGTCTCCTTCTTCTTGATCCAGCAAGGGGGAAGGAGAGGTTGAGGGAGATGGCACCAGCAGCAGCACGACGGCGTGGTGATGATGGAGCTGCAGTACTCCGTCAGGGCTTCGCCAAGCGCTATGGAGGAGGAGGAGGTGTTGGAGAGGGAGAAGGAGACAACCAAAGGCGTGGGAGAAAAGCCCTCCTTCCCTCACTATATATAGGAGGGCCAGGGGGGGCGCCAGCCCTAGGAGATCCAATCTCCTAGGGTGGGGCGGCGGCCAAGGGGGGTTTCCCTCCCCCCCAAGGCACCTAGGAGGTGCCTTCCCCTCCTAGGACTCTTTCCCCTTGTAACCCTAGGCGCATGGGCCTCTTGGGGATGGTGCCCTTGGCCCATGTAGGCCAAGGCGCACCCCCTACAGCCCATGTGCCCCCCTAGGACAGGTGGCCCCACCCGGTGGACCCCCGGGACCCTTCCGGTGGTCCCGGTACAATACCGATTACCCCGAAACTTGTCCCAATGGCCGAAACAGGACTTCCCATATATAAATCTTTACCTCCGAACCATTCCGGAACTCCTTGTGACGTCCGGGATCTCATCCGGGACTCCGAACAACATTCGGGTTACTGCATATACATATCCCTACAACCCTAGCGTCACCGAACCTTAAGTGTGTAGACCCTACGGGTTCGGGAGACATGTAGACATGACCGAGACGACTCTCCGGTCAATAACCAACAGTGGGATCTGGATACCCATGTTAGCTCCCACATGCTCCACGATGATCTCATCGGATGAACCACGATGTCGAGGATTCAAGCAACCCCGTATGCAATTCTCTTTGTCAATCGGTATGTTACTTACCCGAGATTCGATCGTCGGTATCCCAATACCTCGTTTAATCTCGTTACCGGCAAGTCACTTTACTCGTACCATAATGCATGATCCCGTGACCAGACACTTGGTCACTTTGAGCTCATTATGATGATGCATTACCGAGTGGGCCCAGTGATACCTCTCCGTCATACGGAGTGACAAATCCCAGTCTCGATCCTTGTCAACCCAACAGACACTTTCGGAGATACCTGTAGTGCACCTTTATAGTCACCCAGTTACGTTGTGACGTTTGGTACACCCAAAGCACTCCTACGGTATCCGGGAGTTACACGATCTCATGGTCAAAGGAAAAGATACTTGACATTGGAAAAGCTCTAGCAAACGAACTACACGATCTTGCGCTATGCTTAGGATTGGGTCTTGTCCATCACATCATTCTCCTAATGATGTGATCCCGTTATCAATGACATCCAATGTCCATAGCCAGGAAACCATGACTATCTGTTGATCAACGAGCTAGTCAACTAGAGGCTTACTAGGGACATGTTGGTGTCTGTTATTCACACATGTATTACGATTTCCGGATAATACAATTATAGCATGATAAAGACAATTATCATGAACAAAGAAATATAATAATAATGCTTTTATTATTGCCTCTAGGGCATATTTCCAACAAGCACAGCGGTCAAAGTTATCCTTAGTAACTAATGGACTAAGGAATTTTCTCGATTATGGAGGTGGTAAAAGAGTTCGTTGTAAAGGGTTACGCCGATGCAAACTTTGACACTAATCCAGATTATTCTGAGTAGTAAACTGGATTCGTATAGTAGAACAGTTATTTGGAATAGCTCCAAATAGAGCGTGGTAGCTGCATCTAGGAGATGACATAGAGTTTGCAAAGTACATACGGATCTGAATGTTGTAGACCCGTTGACTAAAACCTCTCTCACAAGAAACATGATCAAACCCAAAACTCATTGATTGTTAATCACATAGTGATGTGAACTAGATTACTGACTCTAGTAAACTCTTGGGTGTTAGTCACATGGCGATGTGACCTGTGAGTGTTAATCACATGGCGATGTGAACTAGATTATTCACTCTAGTGTAAGTGGGAGACTGTTGGAAATATGCCCTAGAGGCAATAATAAATTGGTTATTATTATATTTCCTTGTTCATGATAATCGTTTATTATCCATGCTAGAATTGTATTGATAGGAAACTCAGATACATGTGTGGATACATAGACAACACCATGTCCCTAGTAAGCCTCTAGTTGACTAGCTCGTTGATCAATAGATGGTTACGGTTTCCTGACCATGGACATTGGATGTCGTTGATAACGGGATCACATCATTAGGAGAATGATGTGATGGACAAGACCCAATCCTAAGCATAGCACAAGATCGTGTAGTTCGTATGCTAAAGCTTTTCTAATGTCAAGTATCATTTCCTTAGATCATGAGATTGTGCAACTCCCGGATACCGTAGGAATACTTTGTGTGTGCCAAACGTCACAACGTAACTGGGTGGCTATAAAGGTGCACTACGGGTATCTCCGAAAGTGTCTGTTGGGTTGGCACGAATTGAGACTGGGATTTGTCACTCCGTGTGACCGAGAGGTATCTCTGGGCCCACTCGGTAGGACATCATCATAATGTGCACAATGTGATCAAGGAGTTGATCACGGGATGATGTGTTACGGAACGAGTAAAGAGACTTGCCGGTAACGAGATTGAACAAGGTATCGGGATACCGATGATCGAATCTCGGGCAAGTATCGTACCGCTAGACAAAGGGAATCGTATACGGGATTGATTAAGTCCTTGACATCGTGGTTCATCCGATGAGATCATCGTGGAACATGTGGGAACCAACATGGGTATCCAGATCTCGCTGTTGGTTATTGATCGGAGAACGTCTCGGTCATGTCAGCATGCTTCCCGAACCCGTAGGGTCTACACACTTAAGGTTCGATGACGCTAGGGTTATAAAGGAAGTTTGTATGTGGTTACCGAATGTTGTTCGGAGTCTCGGATGATCCACCGGGAGGTAAAGATTTATATATGGAAAGTCATCATACGGTCACCGGAATAATTCGGGGGGTTGCCGGTATTATACCGGGACCACCGGAGGGGTTCCGGGGGTCCACTGGGAGGGTCCACCTGCCACGGAGGGCCCTATGGGCTGTATGTGGAGAGGGACCAGCCCCTTAGTGTGCTGGGCGCCTGCCCCCTAAGGCCCATGCGCCTAGGGTTTGGGGGAACCCTAAAGGGGGGGCGCCCCCTTGCCTTGGGGGGCAAGGCAACCCCCCTTGGCCGCCGCCCCCTCCTTAGATGGGATCTGAGGGGGCCGGCCCCCCTCTCCCTTGCCCCTATATATATGTGGGGGGTGGGAGGGCAGCCGCACCAAGGTTCTGGCGCAGCCCTCCTCCTCTCCCAAGTTCTTCTCCTCTCCCGTGGTGCTTGGCGAAGCCCTGCAGGATTGCCACGCTCCTCCACCACCACCACGCCGTCGTGCTGCTGCTGGACGGAGTCTTCCTCAACCTCTCCCTCTCTCCTTGCTGGATCAAGGCATGGGAGACGTCACCGGGCTGTACGTGTGTTGAACGCGGAGGTGCCGTCCGTTCGGCACTAGGATCTCCGGTGATTTGGATCACGACGAGTACGACTCCTTCAACCCCGTTCTCTTGAACGCTTCCGCTTAGCGATCTACAAGGGTATGTAGATGCACTCTCCTTCCCTTCGTTGCTGGTTTCTCCATAGATAGATCTTGGTGACACGTAGGAAAATTTTGAATTTCTGCTACGTTCCCCAACAGCATATGTATTTAAATATGGTATACACCATGCTTGATCTATAGAGTTGGTAATACTTACTAGACATATTTGAAATTACTATGTTGGATGCTTCACAATCTATTCCAAAATTGTCGTTCACCTATCCAATGCAACAATAAGTATGTGAATGATGTTAACGTAATAACAAGTAGAGAGGGAGATTAAAGTCGATATTTTTCTAGTATCCATCATAGGTTCACGATCAGTAGACCTAGTAGGACAATCAAAACATGGACATAAACCAATACTGAATATTTATAAATGGTAGGTGACAAATCTAGCCACACAATTACGCAGACAACCGACAAGTTTTATTAATATTAAAATAACACGCCTGATGTCAAAATCATAGCAAATTTATGATCTAATCAACACATCATTATTTTGAGAACCACAAGGTTGAGATTTATCCATCGAAAATAGGAGAGTTAATAGAATTGCTGTGTTGTTGCTGCTGCTCGTTTGCAATTAATCTTGCAGGGACAGTTGACGAAGCATTCTCCGAGATTTGGCCAACACAACTTATCTATCTTACAGCAGAATTGTCCAAGGACTTTCTCGTCTTTATAACAAGGGGGTCTGGTTACATGACTTACTTTGGCCATCATGTTGCTAGTCTTTATGGTTTCACCTAATTATAACATAAAAGAAAGAATAGACTTATCATCTCAATATATAAACAATCAAATTCAACAATCTATACATATCGGGGAAAAAACTTTGAGTTGTTAATTACCATATGTGCATCCAAGACAAGTCAAACACACCACAAGAAGAAATGAAAGTAGCAGAAGTCCTTGCACATTATTCCTCATGTGCTTGGTCATCATCACCGAGGACCAGAGGTTATTAGTGGGTGGTACTGTTGTAAGTGGGGTTGATGAGTGTATGACCATGAAATGCTTGCTCCAGGAATGGTTCATATATATAGGAAAAACTTCTTGGCATTGATGTATGGTTCCTCCCTTAAGTACTAATGTTTGGAGTTATGGCTTGTCTAAACATCCAATTTTAGTTACACTTCTAAAGATGCATGGTTCCTTCCTTGAGTTTCTAAAAAAATTAATGCCTTGTCAAATCGTGCAAGTTACTTTAGTGCCCCCTCTAGAATTGCTCGCTTGTAATGATTAGCTAAAAAATGTCGCATGGCAATATTATGTTTAAGGCATTGATAATAATTGGTATAGTATGAATAAATTCTATCTTATATATGATGACTTATCTGTATAGTATCATTAATTTCTCTCTTGGTATAAGAGAACAGGATTTAAAATCCACTAAGACTGATGGCTTAACATTGGAGTTGTTTTTTTAATGTATAAGCAACTATTCTTAAAAAAAAGTAAATACCTTTTTTTTAGTTTTCTACACATGAACATGTTTTAAAAATGGGATGACCATTTTATAAATATAAGACGAAGATTTATTATCATATACACGAACATTTTATATCCAGGTACTTGAGCATTTTTTTATTTACACAAAATTTACTCCAATATTAAGTACGTTTTGATTTTTTTAAATAGATCAAGTTTTCCTAGATCTTTGTTTATTAGAATTGCAAAAATGTCATGCTGGTTGGATGTAATTTTTGTTAGGCGGAGCTTCCCGATTCTTGGGACTCCCTATACGCTGCTCCTTACGACAAACATCATCCCCTTCCCACAATGTGCGCCTGTCTGGGCCGGCCCACTGATGACGCGAGCAGACACAGCGAGTGGGAGAGCATGCGGCGCCCTCCCTTGGAGCCACTTGTCTGTCCAGAACCTCGACATCATACTGTTTCCAAGAGGAATCATGGTGCACACTGCAAACAGACTCTTGTCAATCTTTTCACAAGGAACCGGAGTACCTTTCGACAGCCTATCCATTGAGTTCCATTCAAACGACGACCAACACAATCTCAGGGCGCGACTAAAACTCAAAATGTCCTTGATCTCAAGACCACCATGCCTCTTTGGTGCTTAGATCTTTCGCCAATAGACCATGAATTTTCGTCCATGCCCCTCCTCATCCCCAGCCCATAGGAGGTTTCTCCTGCATTTATCCGTTTTCTTGGTAGCCCATTTGTCCGCAGCGAAGCAGGTGATATAGAAAGCTGCAGTTGCCGCCAACACATAATTAACATTGGTTTCAGGTCCAATATATCCATATCTTTTTGACCAATCCAGATCTTTTTGACAAAATACACCGAGATCACGGGATTCAGCTCCAATATATCCAGATCTTTTTGATGAAAATGCTGACACCGCAGCCTTTCATTGATATAGAAGAGAGTTAACAGAAACACATGGAGGTTGCCATCATTCAAGGACACTATTATTTCCATGGGAAAGATCAGCTCAGGTACACTTCACTTAACAGAACTTTACACGTTACTTGAACAGAATTGAGTATACAGATGGTGAGTGTGCTGGTTCTAGATCGGTGTGTTACTTTTCATGAGCTGAAAAATGGAAAAGCTCTTAGACTTATGTAGGCACTCGAACAAATGTCAGGGCTTAGGTATAGTCATTTGTCAACTTAACCATGAACAAAACAGCATGTCAGTCGCAAAAAAGAAAGAACAAAACAGCATGTAAAATATGCAAAGTGTTTAACTGATTGGATACTCAGTAAAGGGGAGATTTCAATAGAGTGTACTGTTTCTAAGAGCAACTCTAGCAGACCCCGCAAAAACTTGACCTGCAAAACACATTTGCAGTTTCACGAAGATCGTGTTTGCGGGTCGAAAACTAACGCGACCGAACAGATACTGTAAAACTGGAATAAAGAGCTCCTTCCTCCAGTCCGGCCGTTGCCGCCCCTTCCTCCAGCCGGCCACGCCGGCCACGCCTAACCCCGTTGGCCGCGCCCCGTCGCCCATGCCCCATCGCCCATCGGTCGCGCCCCATCACCGCACCGGTCGCGCCCAGCCTCGGCGGTCACGCCCCATCGCCTCCGTCGTCCGCGCCCAGCCTTGCCGGCCACGCCCCGTCGCCTCCGTCGTCTGCGCCTTGCTCTATTGCCAGGCGAGCCGTGCCCCTTTGCCTGCCGCGTCGGGAGGATTCCGGCGGCCAGGCTGAGGTCATGGGAGGCCGCGACGATGTCGAGCTCGTCCAATTCGAACCAGCGGCGATCGATTGCAGCGTCTAACGGCCTTTTCCGATGTGCGGTGATGAATTCCGGCGAGTTTAGGGAGGATTCCGGCAAACTCCGCGGCGACGTGTTTGCTCCGACGAGGTTTGATCGGTATACGGGGGCCTCTAAATTTGGCCTTCCAACCTCCAAAGATAAGGGTTTCGGGTGTGCATTTGCGGTGGCCCTTAAAATTTTTACGGGTTGGACCACTTTTACGGCTTCTGTTCTGGACACTTTTTTGCCCAAAACTGTAAAACACAAAAATTTTGCGGGTTTGACCACTTATGCGGGGTCTGCTAGAGATGCTCTAAGGCCTTGTACAATGGGAGGTGCTTAGAAGAGGTGCTTAGAGAAATACACCAGGATTTCCTTAAGCACCGGTGCTTATTTGTACAGGGTAGACGCTTAACTAAGCATCTCTTCTATAGAAATAGGCACCGATGCTTCAGAAAAACCCGGTTTATTTTTCTAAGCACCTCCCTAAGCATCTCCCATTGTACAAGGCCTAAGCAGAACCAAGAAACTCACAAGGGGCCGCAACTTTGGAAGACCAAGCAGACACTAAATTACAAATAAGGGAGGTTATATTTTTTTCGACAAAAGAAATGACTATACAACAACGAAATGTCCTAAGGACATTACAAATGCACACAACCCAAAATCAAAAAGGAGAAGAAGAAAAAAAATGAAAGATCCCACTACAGTGATAAATTCCTTGTAACTGCAGCATGAACCACCACCAAGACAACATCCGAAATCTAAATTCTCCAAAGCGACGCCTCTAAGAAGGAAGCGGTGCACAAGTGCCCTGGTTGCTTGATCATAGATCTTAGGTTTTCACCCGAGAAAATATGTGCTCTCAAAACAATGCCTTCAATAAGGCCATTATCAGGCATAACCAATTAAGGCCAAATCTTGGGTTTACACCCTAAAAGCTAAGATTCTGTACTCCTCCTGTGCTGCCGCCCCCACTTTCCGATGCTACTGCTACGACTCGAGATTCACCAAGAAAAGTCCTCATCGCCTCGAAGACTCGATCCGCCATTACTAGGCCTTAGACCTTAGCGACCATGAAGTTCTCCGCCATTGTCTTCACCATGCAAATCGAAATATCGACATGTCCCATGATGTCAACAGCCAACAAAGCTTCGCGTCAACGCTCTCCTGAAGCCACATGGGCTGAAATAGGGGCGCACACGACCGAATATCACCCGATCCAGCAATATACACGCGTCAAGCACCCAATGGAGATCTCTGGTGGAGCCTTCCAGGACTCTTCAATGGCCAGATCAATGAGGAACGACATCAAGCAAAACACCGTCTTGGCGCTAGAAGAACCCTAGGACTACCGTAGGAGGGGAACATACCTTGGCTGGGAACCCTAGATCCGCCGCCACCAACCACCATGGTCGGCCCCCACACCACCCTCGCAACCGTGGTGGCACAACCGCCGTCGGATCCCCTGGGTCTGCCGCCCCAGTGTTCCATCTCCGTCGTCACGCCGGGCTCCCATGGGCACCACCGCGCCTTGGCCAGCGGCCCCCACATGAGAGGGGGAGGAGAGCCCGCCGTCCGCTGTTCGCCGGGCGAGCTTTGCTCGCTTGCCTCCTCCAGCAGTGGCGGGGAAGCAGGGGGAAGGGGGGTCGGGGGCGGCGGCGACGGGTGAGAAGTTGTCCCTCACTTAGGGTTTCTATAAAAGGCCGAGTTAGGATAAAATGATAGTCAGATCGTCTCCATCTTCTGCCACTGCCACACAGGCAGAACTCCAATACTACCAGCCAAAAGGCATCCCAGTGCTCTCTTTCAAAAATCCCTCTCTGGTAGCCACCCTTCATAAATTTAGGACCTCGATAAGGACCGAACGTTCGGCTTGGGCAAGCGCCAGACCGAATGAAACGTTCGGATCTGGGACAGCACTCTACCGAACAGAATCGTTCAGTGCAGAAACGCACCAGCCCGAACCCCTCATTCACGAGCAAGTTGTCAATACGTGCAATTTAAAGAAAGTGGGCTAAAAAAGGCCCAGCGTACGCACAAAGACCCAAGTATTCAAAAAGCTAGCAATTGCACACATACTAGGAAATCAAAAACTGGAAAATTCCCATAGCAAAAATTACACAATTTTTCTATGGCAAAAATACTTTAATTCACATGGGAAATCTTAGTTTAATTTTCCATGGCAAAATTTACTCTATTTTTGCCATTGCAAAAAATACTTTTATGCACATGGCAAATTTTAGTTTAATTTACCATGGAAAAATGTACTCTATTTTTGCCAACTTCTATTCACACGGCAAGTTTTAGTTTAATTTGCCATGGCAAAATTTACTCTAATTTTTTACATGGCAAAAATACTTTTATGCACATGGCAAGTTTTACTTTAATTTGCCATGGCAAAATTTACTCTATTTTTACCATGGCAAAAATATTTCTATTCACATGGCAAGTTTTATTTTAATTTGCAGTGGCAAAATTTACTCTATTTTTGCCATGGCAAAAATACTTTTATTCACATGGCAAGTTTTCGTTTAATTTGCCATGGCAAAATTTACTCTAATTTTTGCCATGGCAAAAATACTTTTATGCACATGTCAAAAATACTTTTATGCACATGTCAAGTTTTAGTTTAATTTGCCATGGCAAAAACACTTTTATTCACACGGCAAGTTTTAGTTTAATTTGCCATGGCAAAAATACTTTTATTCACATGGCAAGTTTTAGTTTAATTAGCCATGGCAAAATTTACTCTATTGAGAACAACATCTATAAAATTGCCATGGAAATAGTACTAACAACTTCAGAA